AGGTAAATGGGGAGCGTGGCAGAGTACCAATGACGGCCGCGTTCGATAGTCTGCAACGCTCATGTCGATATAGGCCGTGAATGAGGCACGCACACTAGAAAGTATGTCCATCTATTCAGCCTGTAGCTGGTAGGAACCAGCTTTGTTTGTGCCTCACTTATCCGTCGCTTTTAGCATGTCTCTCCGCGGGCACAGTAGGACTGTACAGATCAACGTTTGGCGTTCATGGTAGTGGAGGAGCGCGGTGGACTACAAAGAAAGTAATAATCTCGGATGCGCGTGCACAAGCTTAATTCTTCTCGTCGGAGGTGTCGACTTTAAGCACATGCCGTGGAGGATCAGAGCAGTTTCAGTCTCCGCTAGGAGCGGGAGTGCTGCTGTGAGAACGAATAAGGGTTGCGCTAGGGAACGCCGGTCGTGGAGAGGCCCATCAGCGAGTTTCAGTGGTTGTGAATTCTGAAATTGCTCCCGGCCACGCTTGGCATCTGCTTTGGAAGTTGGCTAGTGGGGTGGGGGCTTAACAGGGTGTGTTGGGACAACGTATCCGGTCGTCACTGGAGGTGTCTAGCCGGACGGTGTAAACATGGCGTGTAAAAAGCTGGAAGACTGAAAGATTCATACTCGTAGTGCGCCGCTGAAGGGAATTGGCACCACCGGGTCACTGCTTGGCGAGCCAAATCAAAGGCGTGCTGCAGTTTTTAGTATCAACAGGGCGAATCAGATGATGTCTCATACGCTTTTTGCAGCTGTACGCCGGAGCGTCGATCTAAAGACTGTGCGCAAATAGGGCTAGCAGGCGGCCGCTGTAGTTCGACCAGCGTCGGTGCTGGTTCCTGAAAGCCAGCAATGCGCTGTGCGCATCCTGCTGCTGCAACATTTGTCCTTCACGCTTCCTTCGTAACGATTTAACGCACATTGTGCGTTGCATTGCTCGACGCTGGGAGCTCTGGTAACACTTTGCGAGCGCTACAGGTAGCAACAGTAGCGAGACTAACCAGAACTTGACAGGTGGACGACTTAGAGCCCGAGCAGATTCAGGAAAGGCAAAGCGAAAGCAACAAAAGGGGGCTGGATGCACATCTGCTGAAGACGATTGGAACTTTTATGTAATTTAATTTCGCAAAGGCGCCGGCTGCACCCCCAAGAAGCAGTTTGCCTGACGTGGAAGCGTACCCAGAGTAGGTCGCAGTAGGGTCAGCCCAACTAGAGGTGTTTGGACTCATGGAGCCGCACATGGCTTGCTTTCGCTTTAGGGAGAAGCCTCAGGTGGCGACTCAGCACTTCAGGGGACGCACTTTGCGTATATGCGCAGGGCATGTCACCTTTTTTGCACCTGAGTTTCGGAGTCTATTGCATAAGCTTGAAGCGTTGCCCGGTGTACACTCTTTGGCCCATGAAAGCTGTGATGGAGCGTTCTGTGTCTGAATAGATATTTTTTCGTGAATTTCGTCGGTGTTTGGATTCTCGTGGATCCATCATGTGCTGATGTAGGCTACTGATGTGCTAAGGACGCAAGGCTTTGTAGCCCTGCGTGGGTTTCCCAGTACCGCTACGGAAATGCTGTAGCATCTTGCAACGAAAGGCCCACGATTTCCCCGTGGGCCTTTCGTTGCAAGATGCTACAGCATTTCCATATTGTATGCCAACTATATCATCGCGTATGTTTTGGTTGGAGCTCTGGCTTCTTAGTTATCAAGGTTAAATTCAGTATAGTGATAAACATAATATACATGCAGATGAGGACTGGCAATGCGATTCTTAGTGACACTCGCCGGAGGCGATTCTCGCCGTGAAGTGTTTTCCGGAGTTTCTGCCTTGTGTGCTGTCTTCGTATTTGTTAAACGCCTAAATGGATTCAATGAGTGCTGGGTTGATCCTTGCCAACACGGAGTCTATGGTCGAGCCTGCTGTTGAGTAAGAGTGCGGTTTCGGTGCCAACTTACGCGGACAAAAACTCTGGTACTGAAGCTATTTTTCAAACATCCAATCAAAGGGAGTTTCTCTGGGTTGCTCAATCGTGCCCCCTGGACCATTAGATAGTGCGCTCTCTCTTGTAATGTTAGGGTGTGTGTAGTGCTCTTGAGTATTTGTGGATTGCACTTCCCTTAGGAATATCAGGGACATAGTGCAGCCGCCGACATAGTGNGCTCTTGAGTATTTGTGGATTGCACTTCCCTTAGGAATATCAGGGACATAGTGCAGCCGCCGACATAGTGCAGCCGGCGCCGCGCCTTAGCCTGACAGGTTACCAGCATACACTGAGCCGACGGAATAGTGCGTGGAGCACGCATCGCTGTTGGGGGTCTTGATCTGTGAAGGTTCCGCATGGACTGCAGTAAGCTGAATGCTGGTAGGTAATGGTAATTGCGTTAAGCCCCACACTCGCCTTCTCGCATGCGGTCAGCCTGTTCTTCCTGACCGTTATCTGGGAAACGTGTGTGCCTGTTTCGACTCAGCACAGTGTTGCACATGTTAGCTTTGCACAGCAGCGGTGGTGAAGCCTACCAGTATCGCATCCAAGTCTCCTATACTGCACGATGGGGCAGGAGCTCTTCGGAAGCTAAGCTATTGGCGCCTCTCTGTAGGTTCTACGTTTCATCGTGAAAATTTCTATTGAGGACGAAGAGAGCGTTCACTGAAATGAGAAGTTCACTATTGATTTAAACGCTCATTTTCGTCAGAACAACCACTGCACAAGACGCGGATAAGGCAAGCGTCAACGCCAAATATTGAATCTGCCATCGGCTACTACAGATGCACAGATTGGCTAGATCGTGTTGCCTCACGAT